GTATTAATTAGCTATTAATTGCTGGCTGACCAGTCTGAACATGTTACATCTGAGGGGTATATAAAGGGGAGAAAAGCAAGAGCCTCACTGGAGCAGAGCTGCGATTACTGTTTGAGCTACATGTGAATTGGAATAGGGAGAAACAGATTAGGAACGTTAACACATGGCTAAAGGATTGGTGTGGGAAAGAAAAGTTCCACTTCATGGGACACTGTCACCAATACTGGGACAAGAAGGAGCTGTACAAATAGGTGGGCTCCACCTGAACCAGAAGGGGACCAAAGTCCGAGCAAAAAGTGTAAATAGGGCTGTGCCAAAGTCTTTAAAGTAGTAAAAGGTGGGGAGGGATCAGAAGGAAATGACTCAAGTCATATATAAATATAAATGGTCAGGGAATTAATACAATTATAGAACAGAAGTGTGAAGACTGTCAAAAATAAAATGAGAGGAACAATTAATAATAATTAATTAAACTGTCTAAACAGCCATGCGCCCACATCCGAAATAAAACAGGAGAACTGGAGGTGATGATTTTTAGTGAGGAACCAGATGTAATTAGGATTATTGAAATGTGGCGACAGAAAGAACAGGACTGCTATCCAAACATTGCAGGGTATAACATTTAGAAAGGATAGAGATGGTAAAAAGGGTGGTGGAGTAGCTGTGGTCATTAGAGATAACAAAAATATGAGAAGGGGAACATCTAGGCAATAGCAATCATAACTTAATAAGGTTTAAGATACTGATTGAGAAGGACATCAGCATGACAAAGATTATCATAATAGGGTAATAGATTGGAAAAAAGCTGATCTTGAGGGGGTGAGAATGGACCTTGGAAAAATAAACTGGAAAAAATATTGACAAACAAAGAGATAGAGCGGCAGCAGGAAAATTTAAAACTGTGATCAATAGGGTCCAGAAGAAATATATTCTGCTAAAAAGCAAGACAAAGCTAAATAATAATGAGGCACCACAGATGAATAAAGACATAAGGGCAAAGTTGAGACTCAGGAAAGAGACATTCACTAAGTACGTAAACAACAAAGGAAAGCACAAGAAGAAACAATACAAAGAGGTCAGGAAAATATCCCCCCAAAAATTAGGAAGGCAACGAGGAATTATGAAATTAAATTATCAAGGAATATAAAAAGAAATAGTAAAATATTATACAGACATATAAATAACAAAAGAAAAATCAAAATACGAATATGGCCAACAAAGAAATGGACAAGATAAACTCACAGGCCGTGACAACGAAATGGCAGCAATATTAAATAACTACTTTGCATCAGTATTCACCAGGGAGATGGATCAGGTGGACATGACAGTAGAAGAAGAGATCGAAAATAATTCAAATACATTTAAGATATAAAGAGAAGATATAATCGAAAAACTAACGAAACTCAGAGAGGATAAAGCCCCTTGTCCAGATGGATTGCATCCGCGTATATGAAACAAATCGAGGGAAGAGATACCAGAGGCTGTATATATGTATATTACACATATATAATTCATTAAAAAAGGGATTAGTGCTAGAGGACCGGAGGATAGCTAATGTTATACTTATATTTAAAAAGGGAGATAGAACAAGCCCAAGGAACTACAGACCTGTCAGCTTAATATCGGGGGTAGGAAAGATAAAGGAATCCTTACTGAAGGAGGTAGTAGAAAAACATCTAGAAACAGAAAACATAATAAAGAATAAACAGCACGGATTTCAAAAAGGAAGGTCATGTTTGACCAACCTCATTGAATTCTTTGAAGGGGTAACAGAAAGAGTAGACAAGGGGAATGCGGTAGATGTAATATATTTAGATTTCCAAAAGGTGTTCGATAAGGTACCACGTAATAGAGCTTTGAATGAGGTCAGAGCATGTGGAGACAGGGGAAAAATAGCAGAATGGATAGCAAGCTGGCTACAAAACAGTAAACAGAAAGTAGGGGTAAAGGGTAGCTACTCAGGCTGGCAGGGGGTGGACAGTGGTGTTACACAAGGATCGGTATTGGGGCCACTGTTGTTCACAACCTACATTAATGATTTGGACTCAGGAATTGGACTTGGGAATCATCAGTACAATTTCAAAATTTGCAGAAAACACCAAATTGGGGGGAGTAGTTAACACAGAGGACTGCAACAAATTACAGCAAGACATTAATAAACTTGATGAATTGGCATTTAAATGACAAATGCATTTCAATGTAGAAAAGTGTGAGATGGTATGTTTTGGTAGAAGGAATAAGGAAGTCACATACATCCTGGAAAATAAAAACCTAAATGGGGTAGAGGAGCAAAAGGATCCAGGGTACACTATTCACTAAAAGTGGCAACATAGGTTAATAAGGTCATACAAAAGGTAAACCAGGCATCTAGAGTGATAGAAATAAAAAGCAGGGAAATTATGGTAAACTTCTATAGAGCCTTAGTTTGACCACACGTACAATACTGTGTGCAGTTCTGGTCCCCACATTATAGAAGGGGTGTAGAGGCATTGGAGAGGGTGCAAAGGAGATTCACAAGGATGTTCCCAGAATTGAGAGGTTATACCTATCAGGGAAGGCTGAACATGCTGGGATTCTTTTCTCTGATTATTTAATTCATGACAATGTTTGACTCAGCTGAGCAGGACCCCCAGACTCACATAATAACAACAACAAACAATAAAATTACATTTGTATAGCGCTTCAATAAAATGATGGGGGCGGTGCACTCCCTGGGATGAGATTTTAAACTGTGGTCTTGTCTTTCTGTTTGGGTGGACATTAAATATACCACGGTACTATTGCCAAGAGAGGGAAGATCTTCGTATCATGACTCACAATAATCTGTATAAATTTGTTCATTCATTTCAAGGCTCTTTGTGAGACTTTGCTGTGTGTAACAGACTTTCAAGTTATACCAGTGGTTACATTTCACAATAAAGGTATTAATTTGGAGCATTGCCTGAATTTTGCTGACATGACAAGACACTATATTAAACATCAGGCTTGTTATTAATAATAAGGAAATAGAAAACTTAGATTCTAATGGCGTTTCTAACTGAAACCACTCAAAGTGCCTCTTAGGAGCGAGCATTGGGTACAGTTACCATTTGGTTGTCAAAGGTGATTCAGCATAAAGTCTCACAAAGAGCAACAGGGGGAAAAACACAACATTGTCGTGTCAGCCGAGACTTCATTAACTCAATAACGGAGAGAATCAGTTTGTCAACTATTAAGTATTCAAAGTACAGTTTTGTTCACTTGATTTAATGTATTCTGTATTATGTGGAGTCCTGTAACTCAGTGGTAAGAGCACTCGCTTCACAAGTAACAGACCTGGGTTCAATTCCCGGGCAGGGCGAAATGTTCGGCAAGCTTCCTTTCTCCATATGCCTATTTACCTAGCACTGAGTAGGAACCTGGTGGTTAGTCAATTGGCGGATCGCTTTCCAGGGCTAATAACCTCTTTTTAAAAAAAATGGTCACTCAATCCATGGCTGTTTGAGGGAAACTGCTGTACACAATTGCTGCCTTGTTTTGCCCACAAGATGCACAGTCATTTCACTTTACAGTATATTACGTGAAGCATTTTGAGCCATCTCAAAGACGTGATAAGGCGCTATATCAAAGATTATTATTATTCATAGAATCTGCCGACGCTTTTGTGCTTTTTCCCAAATTAATATTTTCCTTTTTTCTTTTTGGCAGCTAATTTATTGTCACTTGTGATCCTCTCCCGGGGAAGATGTGGTCTCTCTAAATGCGTAAATCGCTACCTTTTGGCTATGGCTGCAGCCGATCTACTTGTCATTATCAGTAACGTGATACTTACTCGGATAAATTATCTCTATTTCCCAGTTGGGTTTCTGGACCTGACTCCCGTGTGCTCACTGGGAACCAGTGTATTATGCGCAGCGACAGACGCCTCTGTCTGGCTAACAGTAGCTTTCACCTTTGATAGATCTGTCGCGATCTGTTGCCAAAAGCTGAAAACAAAATATTGTACCGAAAAAACAGCGGTTCAAGCCATAGGAACGATCTGTGTGCTGAGCTGCTTCAGAAATGTACCTTGGTTTTTCACATTTGAGCCTTGGTTTGTGATTGGCAACCAATCGTGGTTCTGTAAGATAAAACAAAGCTATTATGATTCATACATTTGGGAAATGTATGCATGGTCATACACCATTTTTACCCCATTTATTTCATTCTTTCTAATCTTGCTGCTGAACGCTGTGACAGTCAGACACATTTTAGTTGCAAAT